TGGGGGCGCCAGGTTCCCGTCCTGGGTGGTGGGGGCGCCAGGTTCCCGTCCTGGGTGGTGGGGGCGCCCTGCACAGGGTTGGGGGCACAGCGGCGGGCGGAGGGGGCGCTGGGCCTGGGGAGGCCCTGAGCTGCCGGCTTCTCGCCAGCCCGGTGCGCGGCGGGGCGGCGCCGGCCGGGGGCTCCAGACCACGGTGCCACCGAGCAGGAGGCGCCGGTGTCACGCGTGATGGTTTCCCCTCGAACCTTCTGTGCACAGAAGGAAAGTTCCAAAGGTTGGGTCCGTCCGTTAAGTACATTCCTGGACAGTGCCTTATTTTATTTTTTTTTTCTTAAATAAGAAAAAAGCAAAGCAAAAACCCAAAAGATGCTATTGCATGGCTTATTAAGAGGCTACCTGCAGATTGTCATGAACTGTGCGTTTTACCCTAATTGTGTAGCCCTTTTTATTCGCACACTGTGGAGTTCCATTCAAGATTTCACCTATTGCTTGGTTTTCACTCATTGCAGATTTCTGTGTGGGTAGAATATGGATCCTCCGTTGCTTTCATAGTCTGATTTTAAATATGTTTTTCAAGAAAATATTTAATTCACTGCTTAATCCTTTAAAAAAAAAAAAAAGGCAAAAAAAATTTAGCTGTTATTGGCGGTGCTTTGTATTTTCTTGGTCCAGAGATGCTTGTTTGAAAAAGACAGAAGGGTGTTACATTCTCTGCTGGTTAAGTCTTAGTGACATTGAATGGGAGATGTATTCCTGGTGTTCAGGTGCTGCTTGTGCCTTTCCTCACATGCCTTATAAAAACTGGCTCTTTGCCATGCTCATGTCTTAGATGCTCTCCTAGAAGAACTGTAGGAGGATTGTGGCAATCTGAATGGCAGCACAATAAAGAGCCTGATGAAATTTAATACTGGTAATTGTGAATTACTGAGTTTGGAAAAGCAACCATAACTATACATACAGAGCAATGTGCTCTAGATAAGTTATTACCATTCAAATAAAACAACGTAGCAGTCACTGTGAAAAAAACGTGTCAACATGCAATGCTATTCAAAAGGTAAATATAAGAGTATTCAGTTGTTTCTTGAATACTGAATGCTGTAGTGGTCCTCAATCTTAATTATAGAATCAGAAATTATATAGAAAATTATGATGAGACAGCCATGGCTGAAAATGGCTTCTTTTGGTGGACAAGCCAAATAGACGACAATGCTTCACCTTGGAAAGACACATCTAAGTGGTAATATGAGAGACACATGGAGAAGGTGACATGAATTTTTATAGCAAAAGAACTAGGAGGTATTAAATGATCAGGTAGAAGTTTGAAAACAAAAATTACACTTTTTTATATTGCACAATTAGATTCTTGGCTCCAGGGATGGTACAGGTAACCAAAATATAAATAATTTTTTAAAAAGCAATTAGATGAATCCGTAGAAGGGAAGTCTGTAAAATATTGCTAACAAATGCACACCAAACCCCTGGCCCACAAAGCCCTTACACTACTGATTGCTTGGCTGGTATCCTAGGAAAGTGTAAATCTGTACTGTTTCATAGGCTTTCTTTAAGCAGGTCTGTTTTTCTTAAAGGTTTACCTCTCATTAACCTCTTTGCCTTAATTCCAGCAGTCTGGCTGTGTAACACTGGCATTCTTTTACACCATGCTGAAACACAGGGCTGGGTTTTGTGCTGCCACATGAATATGGGAGGGGGGGGGGCAGGGGTAGATCGCTGCATGCCCTCGGCAGTGGGCCTGGGTGCTTCTCCCCGACATAGTTTTCTTCCCTGACACCTTGGGCCAATATTTAGGTTTTAAGTGAAAATGGAACTTTGTGTGGCCTGTGGTTCTGGGATCAGGCCTTTGGTAAAACAGCAAACCAAAGATAAAACAGCACAAACCATTACAGGAAGTAACAGGTGGAAGTGTTGAAAGTGCCTGCTACATAAAGGTTAATTTTGGGAGTGTGGTTTCCCAGAAATGTGTCCAAAATAAGTGTATAGATACTAGTTTATTTATCAGCTATGACAGGACTAGTAGCATTTAAACTGCTATTTTTTTTTAAATAGTGACCTTAGTAAAGACTAGCGTTGAAGTTTACTGCTATGCAGTAGCCGGTGACTGAGTCTCTAAAAGTAGTAAATGTTTACTCTGAAAAAATGCACAGTTCATGCCAATCAGTAGGTAGCTTCATAATAAAACATGCAGAAGAATTATTTGGGCTTTTACTTTGCTTATTTAAGAAAACAAATAAGGCATTTTCCAGGAATGTACTTAATGGATGGACCCAACATTTGGAATTTTCCTTCTCTGCACAGAAGGAACAGGGGAAAGCAGTCTCACAAAAAGACTCATTAAATAATGGTTAATCCCAAGATGGACATTTTTACAAACCAGTCAAAATACTATTTCAAATGGTGTTTCATTCATTGAAAATGCCCTGGCAAAACATCTGACCCGAAAACTTACCCAGTACTGAGAACCTGTTATTGTGAAGAGCCACTTTTTAATTATATATGATCTATGTATGTACCAGTTTTGCCAAGCTTTGTTCCCTGCGTGGTGTCCAAAGCTTATGCTGAGCTGAGCTTATTCAGCAGTGCACAAAAATGCCTTGGGGTCATTCAGTGGATTTTCTGAAGAGGAGAGTCTGAGGAGTAACTGTGCAGGGCAACCCTGCAGACACTTGATGTTGCTAGGGAGTCCCTATAAAACCAAGTGTGCAGTTGTGATGATGAAAACAAGCGTGTGGCAAAGACCAAGCCACCAGGCCACTGCAGTATGCTTCCTAGAGAAACAGCTGGGCTACTTATGGCTAAGGTTTATAGGGAGTGTTCTGGACAGGTTTTTTAAGGAAGATGGGTTTGCCATCTACACAAGGAATATTCAAGGTCTGCAAGAGATCATAGCTAGCTAGTCACACCACAGGCAGAGAAACAAATGGGAGGTGTGAGAGGGGATGCAAAGCTCTGCAGAAGAAGTGGAAATATGAAATACAAGTGGAATTCTTAGTCCTTACTAAAGTGTTTTGGAGACCACCTGCATACTCTTGCATGAGGAAGGCTTTTGTAAATATACTGATCACATTTTTAGAATTGTATATGGGTGTAACTAATAACTGATAGACTGGTGCAGTTTTGTAATAACAAACCTGAAACAGCAATATAAATGGTAACTTGCATTAAGATTTTAGCCAACTTGTGGTGGCCAGCTGAGTCTGTATCAAGATAAACATCAATGTGAACATCTTCAGAGACAAGCTGATGGAGTATGGGCCAGACAGGTGGACAGTGAGGTGGAGTTCAGCGAGCGGCTGAACTGCTGGGCTCAGAGGGTGGTGACCAGGGGAACTAAATCCAGCTGGAGACGTCACTGGCAGTGTCCAGCTGTGGTTAACACTGGTTCCAGTACTGTTTAACTCTTTGTTAGTGATCTGGATGATGAAGGAATGTACACCCTCAACAAGTTTACGGATGTTACAAAACGTAGGAGTGGCTTATGCACCAGGTGTCTGTGCTACCATCCAGAGGAACCTGGACAGATGTGCTGGAAAACTGGGCAGACAGGAACCTCATGAAGTTCAAGAAGTGTAAAGTCTTGCACATGGGGAGGAACAACCCCATGCACTAATACTGACCACCTGGAAACAGTTGGGCAGAAAATGAGGATGTTGTGGTCCTGGTGGACAAAAAGCTGAACATAAGCCAGCAATGCACCCTTGCAGCAAAGAAATGACTGCCAGTGCTAGATTAGGGGGCATGTTGCCAGCAAGTCAAGGGAAATTATCATTCCCCTCAGCCCTGGTGAGGCCACATCTAGAGTGCTGGGTTTGGTTCTGGGCTCCCCAGTACTAGAGAGACATGGACATAGTGGAGTGAAACTTGTGGAGAGCCATGGAGGTAATTAAAGGTCTGGTACATCTGTCATGCAAAGAGAGTCTGAGGGAGCTGGGACTGTTGGGCCTGGAGAAGAGAAGGCTCAGGGGGAGTTTATCCTCTACTCAGTGTTTAATGGAGATAGAGCCAGACTCTTCTCAGTGGTGCCTGGTGACAGGACAAGAGGAAGTACGCACATACGGAAATATGGGAAGAACCATCTGAACACAATAAAACAGTTTTTTACTGTGAGGGTGGTTGAACACTGGTGCGGGTTGCCCAAAGAGTTTGTAGAGTCTCTTTCTGTGGAGATACTCAAATCTGACTGGACACAGTCCTGGGCAATCTAGCTGACCCTGCTTTGAGCAATGGGGTTGAGCTAGGCAGTGTCCAGACAGTTGTCCAACTTAAACTGTTCTGTGATGCTCTGAATTAGTCTTTCTAAGCTAACTTTGTTTATCATGAGGGGAAGAGAGAGAGTCAGAAGAGAAGAATGCCATGTGATAATTTGGGTTTACTGTCAAAGGTCTGGTCTTATCTAAGTGACCATTTTTATGAAAGCAACAAAAATGTCTTTTTTTTCCTCCTCTTACCATCTCCTTTGAGTGTCTACATCATTAGGCTTTTTTTGATGAGGTGCAAAACGCTTCACTAGTCAAACTGTTTAAAAGATTCCTTGATCTGCAAACCTATACAGAGAGGTACCACATCATCTTGTCCTTGTTCAAGGTGAGAGTAAAGACAAAGTGCTTGCTGTGTCAAGGTTGGCTTCAGGGGACATGTTTGAACTGTGAGGATCAGAGCTGGCCAACTGGTGGAGAAGGACCTTCCTGCAAAGGAGAGTTTGACTAGAGATAGTCACAAGGTGGTGAAAAGGTGGCACATCCCTTGATCAACAAGAGCCAATAGAAGTATCAACACTTCCCGTCTGGGTCTGAGGGGTCCCCCAGGAAAGGGGATAGCTGAGGATAAGATGCAGCTAGAGTAATTTTCCTGGTAGGCTGCTGACAGCCCATCCATCTTTGGGGGTACATCCCAGCCCTGGCCTGCCTTCCTGATTCTGTTTTCACTAGTTTTGTGTTGGAGGAAGCATCTGTGTGTTTCACAAAGACACACTCAGGAGAACTCTGCTCCACCCCAGTTCATTTTCCAAACCAAAACTGAAATACCAGGGCTGATTCTTGTATGTCTGGGTTTTGTCATTTCTGCTAGCAGTCTTCATTTCCCAAACTGGGAGGAGTGAGGGGGAGCCCCATTGTTGCACATTTGAAATGCCTTGCCCTAGATGTCTTTTCTTTTTATAGTCTTGCCACATGTTGTGCTATTCCAGTTAACCACTTCAAACTTTTCATCAGTTAAGTTCCGTCTTTCTTAAAAAAAAAAATACCCTGAAAGGCCAAAAATCAGATTAAAATCCCTTTGACATGACCAGTTACGGTTTGCTGAGTACAATGTTTTGGTGTACAGTGTATCTGATGAACTAAACTGTCTCAAACTGGGACAGAAGCTGATCTGGATGGGTAAAATCCCAGAAATGGGATTAGCTGTGAACATGCTGATCTGATAAAACATGGAAGTGGCTACAAGACACCTGATGGTGGCATGGCAGGGTTTGGAATTATGAATTATATCAAGCAAAGGTCAGCGCTATGCCAACAGACAAGACATCTGATTCAGTTGTCTTATGGAAGCTATCGTGAAGTATATGTCTGTGCCTATCATTGCCTGGCTTTCTATCATTCTTTGACTCAGGGCACTATTATTTTGTCATTGTTGGGACAGCTTCTTGTGGGTTTTTTTTCTGTTTATTTTGTCAACCAGTCATATCTAAAACTTCAATTATGAATCCTTCTAAGATTTCTATCAGGGTGGAAGAACATACTTAGCACACACACACAGAGGGAAAAAAAAAAAAAAAAAAAAAAAAAAAAAGCAGTTCCTAAAATGTCATGTGAGCTTCTTTTTTCAGTCACTCTAGAGACAGGACTGATAATGGTACTTTCTCCCTGAGACACCGAAATATCTGGTAGGTATAATAAACTGCAGAATTCTGCTTTCCTCTTCAACTTGCAATTTCTTATTCTTCACTCCTGAAAACCTCTCTCTCCCCTTCAGTTCCCCCTTCCATTTTCATAAGCACATAGCAGCCCTTTTAGCACTCTTGAAAACGTTGCGTGGGCAGTATCTTCTTATTGATTCATCCCTCAGTTTGCTTGGAGTAGTATTTGTATTACTATCTTTACAGCATTCCTTGACTCCCTATCCCCTTTATACCATCATCTGTAGCTATATGAGAATGCAGCAAGATTCAGCTTTTGCAGCACTCTTCTCCAGTTGTGCCTGTAAAAGTCACTTCTGCATATATCAGTAAGACCACAGGAGATGGAAGGAACTTCTTAGAATTTTAAATTAAGCCCCATCTGCCTTCCAGTGACTTCTTTCTTAGCTTTCCTTGCAGGTCACCCTCACCTAAAAGCCTCTTAGCAGATGTTACCAAAAAGTGGTAAATGACAATGTCTGTGACAACTGTTTAGCTAATTTCCTTCATGGTGAAGCGGTTCTAACCGCATTGCCCCACATTTAGACTATGTGTTAAGCAAGAAATAATTATTTCTTTTAAATAATATTTATATTTAGTCCTGCACACAGCGGTCCCTGACTGGCATTTAAGTACTGGCATAATAGAGGTTAAAATAGAATCAGTCTGGTTTGTCTTATTCATGTCTCCTCCGCTGCTTCTGCAGGCTGTATTCAGCTCTTACCTGTGCAGGTTCCTTGCATCCTGGTAATGCTTTTAGGGACCTTTCAGCAACACAACTGTATTCGTTGATTTGACAAGGGTTTAGTTAACAGGTATTTTATAAACAATTTTATTAATGCCTGAAGGATGATCAGGCTTTTTCTCAGTTCTGTATTGACTTTGCTAGAGTTCCTCTACTTTCCTTTCTAAATTTACTAAGTCCAAGAATAATTGAATGGAAAAATAAAAGTTTTTCCACTACTATTCTCATAGTTTTAAAATGTCACAGCATTCTGTGTCTCAGCTTCATTGTCTTGCTATAAGACAACTTTTCTTATATCTAAAATGGCTCAAGAACATTACTGCTATTACTCTGTATTTTACTTTTTCTTTCTACAACTAAATTTCTGCCTTTCCAAGGAACCAGCAGAGAGATCAGAACAAAAGCAGGGAGAAGGAAATGCTTACTGAGTCTTCCCTAAAAATATCTCTTAGCAAACAGAGTTGCTGACCTGTCTGGTCTATTTATAATGTCCAGAAAGTGGAGCAGGGTTATTTCATTAAGACAAGCACTGCTTTCTTAACTTAAACCTATTTCACTGGTTATGTCAGAAGGAATCACTAATTTTAAAGGGAAAAGTAACTAAAATGCTGACTGACTTACCTTTCTGCAGAAAAGTGTGTACAAAGCTGGGAGTCAATCAGGAAAGACACCTGGAGACAGTGTGGGCTTGTGAATAGAGTCTCCACTTTACAGAGTGGAGACTAAAAAAGAACCAGACTGAAATCAAAGAGGGTGGCAGAGATAGGAGAATTTAAGTGTCTACATCCCCCCTGTTTGAATAGTGGGGCTTATGTAGTTTAGCCACCATGAGTATGATGAAGGTGTTTAATAGCCAGACTAGCAAAGCCTTTGGCACAAATTTGTATAGTCCGATGCCTTTGTACACTGACAGCTCTGTACTGTCAGAGATGCTTCAGTACAGATAAAGAGAAGAATTTGGGGAGGAGGGTGTGAATTGCCTACTAATTTGTTTTCTGTTTTATAGCTACAGAATGCCTGAACTCCTGGGTAATAGCAGTTCACATGAACAGGCTGCTGCAAATTATGTATCAGAGTCCATTGTCTCCATTGCTATCTTCATCATCATTTTCATCATAGGTGTCCCAGGCAATGGACTGGTGATCTGGGTAGCTGGTCTGAAAATGAAAAGGTCTGTGAACATTGTCTGGTTCCTAAACCTTGCCGTGGCTGACTTCATGTGCTGCTTGTCCTTGCCATTTTCCATTGTTCACCTGATCCTCCATGAGCACTGGCCGTATGGTTGGTTCCTCTGCAAAGTCATTCCATCAGTTATAATCTTCACTATGTTTGCTAGCATCTTCCTACTCGTGGCCATCAGCATTGACCGGTGCCTCCTTGTGATGAAACCGGTCTGGTGTCAAAATCATCGAACAGTGAAATTTATATCACTAATATGCGGTGGCATTTGGATCCTGGCCTTCATTTTCTGCTGTCCTGTCTTCCACTACCGTGAGACTAGCACTCATGATGGCAGAACTGAATGTGGGTACAGTTTTGGAGATGATGAGGTTTATATGGATTATTACGACGAGGTTTATATGAATGCTTCTGTAAATATGTCATTGGAAGAATACTCACCTTTAGCCTACAATGGTAATTACTCTTGGGGAAATTTCTATGAAGACTCTTCTGTATCCCTTGCCTTACTGGTAATAAACGTCACTAGGGCTGTTTTTGGCTTTGTACTGCCCTTTGGCATAATGGCAGTTTGCTATGCCCTCATTGCTTTCAGAACACATGCAAATCAGTTTCACAAGCCACGCAACAGGATGCTGCGAACAATTGTGCTCGTGGTAGCTGCATTCTTCATCTGCTGGGCTCCATACCACGTAGTTGGGATTCTGCCCCTTGTGTCTACTCTTGGAATAGAACTGAAGGAGTCATTAGTCCTCTGGGATCACCTCTCTACAGCACTTGCATACGCCAACAGCTGCATCAATCCTCTGCTCTATGTTTTTGTGGGGCGGGACTTCAGGGCAAAGGCACGACAGACAGTTCAAGGAATCTTGGAAGGTGCCTTTACTGAGGAACCAACACGTTCGAGCCCTTACTCCCTTGACAGAAGCAAGACTTCGACAGAGAAGGACGTTAGCAGCACAGTGTAAACGCAGGGCTTCTGATCACCACTGTAGAGAGTGTGAGCTGGGGCCCTGTGCATCAATCACTCGCCACTTAAAAAGATTTTTTTTTGCTCTAACACATTTGACTAATCTGCAGATCTTCACACAGGGCACTGAGATGGTTCGGGTCAGAACAGCTAACCCCCTTTACATCCTACTTCAGAGAGATGGGAAGTTGCCAGTACCAGGAATAATAATCTGAGGGAAGACTGGTGAAGCAGAAGGCACAGACTACTTAAATCTTTAAAAAAGAAAGCAGGCTTGCAGGTGGGATTATGTAGTTTAACCTCTGAATTGCTAGATGAGAATGTCATTAGAGTTATTTGCATATGTCTATGTTCTATATTTCCTGTCTCTGATAAACTGCAGATGAAACTAACTTTGATGTCTCTCCTTGGAATCTGTCATTCCGTTTTTCCTCTCCTTTAACTATACTCGGGGTCTGAGGGGTTTTTTTCTGAAGATTTCCCTCGAGGTTGGTGCCAGATTTTCTTACGCAGTGCATTAGAACAGCACTTGCCCCAGTCAGCTGTGTTGAACTGACTTTCATGCCCTGGTGGATGCCAAGATATTTCATTGTCCCAGCAAATCCATCACTGTACAGTAGTAACTGGTCCAGTGCACATGTTTGTCAGCATGCACTCACTCACTGCCTCCCCACCACCCCCTCCACCACCAGAGTCCCAAATCCTCCTTTTAGGAAGTAGTCTGAGATTATCCAAATGTACCTACTGCATTTTGAGATGACACATAAGCAGAATCTGAGCAACTGTGGTCACTTATGAACCAGATTAGGTGGCTGTTGGACTATCAGCCATTTGGTAAAACCTTGGAATTGAGAAATTATAATCTCCACAGGAACAAGCCTGTGGCAGCAGTCATATCTGTCTCTCTAAGAAAGATGTGCTTCTCATTGTCTTTCTGGTGGAGGAAGATAAAAATTTTGTCCAGTCAGGCTATTATGGGGGTGTTTCCCAAGCCTGAATGTTCCCTACTCCTGAAATACAGAAGTCTATTTACTAGGTAATCTAAGGAAGTGGTTTACAATCTGCTTATGTTTGTTCTTCCTTAACAGAGTGAGGTCAACAACTGGTGTGACAAACAACCACTAAGCATTGGTATAGTTTTCACTTTGTCTTACTGGTGAGCACAGGTTGAAAGATTCACTGATCAGTGTCCTGAGAACAGCAGCTGTGAGAACTTTTGGCTCTTTCTCTTGACATCCTAAAAAGTCTCAGTTCTGAAGTACATATAGGTGTCTGTACTGGGTTTGCGTGGCAAGGTTTTGGTAGCAGCAGGGCTACAGGGGTGGCTTCTGTGAGAAGCTGCTAGAAGCTTCCCCTGCGTCTGATAGAGCCCGTGGCAGCCGGCTCAAAGATGGGCTCACTGCTGGCTGAGGCTGAGCCCATCAGCAACAGTGACAACACCTCTGGGATAACATATTTGAGAAGGGAGAAAAAAGAAAAACCAAACATGTGCAATTGCAGCAGGAGAGAGGAGTGAGAATATGTGAGGAAAACAGCCCTGCAGACACCAAGGTCAGTGAAGAAGCAGGGGGAGGAGGTGCCTCAGGTGCCAGAGCACAGATTCCCCTGCAGCCCATGAAGAAGACCATGGTGAGGCAGTTGTGCCTGCACCCGTGGACGTTAACAGTGGAGCAGGTATCAGAGAATCACAGAGTGGTTTGGGTTGGAAGGGACCTTAAAGATCATCCAGTTCCAACCCCCCTGCCACGGGCAGGGACACCTTCCACTAGCCCAGGTTGCCCAAAGCCCCGTCCAACCTGGCCTTGAACACTGCCAGGGAGGGGGCAGCCACAGCTGCTCTGGGCAACCTGGGCCAGTGTCTCAACACACAGTGAAAAATTTCTTCCTCCTACCTAGTCTAAATCTATCTTCTTTCAGTTTAAAACTGTTTCCCCTCATTCTATCCCTACACTCCCTGATAAAGAGTCCCTTCCCAGCTTTCCTGTAGCCCCTTCCAGTACTGGAAGGCCATTGTAAGGCCTCCCTGGGGCCTTCTCTTCTCCAGAGCTGGACACAGCACTGCAGGTGGGGTCTCACAACAGCAGAGTAAATGGAGAGAACCTCCTCCCTCACCCACTGGCCACACTTCTCTCGATGCAGCCCGGGACACAGTTGGCTTTCTGGGCTGCGAGTGCACACTGCTGGCTCACAGTCAGTTTTCCATCCACTGATACCTCCAAGTCCTTCTCTGCAGGGCTGCTCTCAATCCACCCCTCACCCAGCCTGTATTTGTGTTTGGGATTGCCCAGACCAATAGGCACTTGGCCTTGTTGAACTCCATGAGGTTTGCACAGTCCCACCTCTCCAGCCTGTCCAGGTCTCTCTGGATAGCACATCCCTTCCCTACAGCGTGTTGACTGCACCACACAGCTCAGTGTCATCACCAAACTTGCTGAGGGTGCACTCGATCCCACCTGCAGCCTGGGGGGGACCCCACGCTGGAGCAGGGGGATGCCCGGAGGAGGCTGTGACCCCGTGGTAAGCCCCCACTGAGCAGGCTCCTGGCAGGACCTGTGGCCCTGTGGAGAGGAGCCCAGGCTGGAGCAGGTTTGCTGGCAGGACTTGTGACCACGAACTGCCCCAGTGGGTGTCCCCTGCAGGAAGAGCTACAGTCTGTGGGAAGGACTCACGTTGGAGAAGTTCATAGAGAACTGTCTGCTGTGGGAGGGACCCCACACTGGAGCCAAGGAGGAGTGTGAGGAGTCCTGCCCCTGAGGAGGAAGGAGCGGCAGAGACAAGGGGTGATGAACTGACCACAACCCCCATCCCCTGCCCCCCTGCACCACTGAAGGGGAGGAAGGAGAGAAATCATGAGTAAAACCGAGCCCAGGAAGAAGGGAGGGGTGCAGAGAAGGTGTTTTAAGATTTGGTTTTATTTCTTATTATCCTACTCTAATTTGATTGGTAATTAATTTCCCTAAGTCAAGTCTGTTTTGCTGGTGACGGTAATGGCTGGGTGATCTCCCTGCCCGTATTTCGACCCATGAGCCTTCCATTATATTTTCTCCCCCCTGTCCAGCTGAGGAGGGGAGTGATAAGAGTGGCTTTGAGGAGCACCTGGTGTCCAGCCAGGGTCAACCCACCACAGTGTGGGCTGTTAAGTTAGGGATATCCACACCCAAATTCTGTTTCTAAGGTGGAACCAAGCCCATCGGACAGGCGCCGCTGCAAAAAAAATTCAATACTGGCACCAAAAGAGTTAAACCATAAACATTCACTTTTTCTTTTTATTAAGAAAGCATGCACAAAAATAAACTCGTGAGACCACGCCCCTCTCTCCCTGACCACTGACACAAAGTGCGGGGGCCACACCACGCTGGAGGGGGGCCTGCAGGAGCCCCCCCTCGGGGACAGGCCGGCGTTCCCCCTCCCTGCAGGCTGGTGCCTGTGCACCCTGCAGAGCTCCACGTCGCCCACCCGATGCCTTCCCACGCACTAACAACGCACATTTATTTCAGGGGCAGAGGAACGAGGATAATTTGCACACTGACCGGCATGTATTTACATACGCAAATGAGGCGCAACTTAATACGCAAATGAGGCAAATATGCAAATGAGGAGCACTTGGATACGCAGAAGGAGCCATCTTGGTTTGGTTTTCTTCCGGTGGTGTTTTCAGACTTCCACAGAGCCTGCTCTCAGTAACATCCTCTGCAAAGCGCTAACTGGCACCTACCAGAAGTTGTCTCTTGTGGTTGTCTCTGGTGCCACTTTCCACAGAAACCCATCACACACGCTTCCAAGCTGTATCAGTCCCATCCTGAGGCAGCAGAGATAACAGCTGACTCCATGCTGAAGTTGTCTGGGATTCCTCATTTCTCTTGGAAACACTCAATGATGAACTCCCCCCAAAACACACACTTAAAAAAGAAAAAAAAAAAAAAAAAAAAAGATCCAATTGGTTTATCCCTACAGCAAATTTAAAAAGCAATGCTAGTTCCCCACCTTCCTGCAGTCAGAGTAGGCGTTATTGCTCCCCTGTCCCAGGTCTGTCAAGCGGCCATGATGTTTGATTTCCATCTTGGTTCCCTTCACTGGTAAACGGGGAGTAAGTGCTGAGGGGAGGCTTTACAAAATATTAAGAAGAAACAAGAGGTCTGACAGAACAGAGTCATACCAGAAAAAAGGGGAACACAGGACACAGCTTTGGGGAGGAGGCATCTCAACACTCACTCCTGCTCCTGCACCTTTTCCACCTTCCTGATTTGCAAGTGCTGACAAAACTCATCCTTCAGATGTACCCTAGATTCCATCATCTCCCCAGCTGAACTGCAAGGGGTCTGACCCACCCTCCTCCCTTTTATACTACACTCTTTGGCTGTTCGGTTTAAAAATCTGCTCCACTTCATCCTCTCTCTTCTAATGCACCTCTTAGAAAAAACACTGTGTGAGGGCCTCCCGGTTGCGTGACCAGAGGGTCCAGAAGTCCCCTAATGCACCTCCACACCGAGCAGCAGCTTCCTCTTCCCACCATTAGCCCATTCCCAAAGTGGGAACCACTGACGGAGAACTTGCACCAACGCAACAAGACTCCTGTTGCTGGCACTTCTCAAACCGCAGGCAAGGACAGTCTCCAACGAAATACGAGGGGTGGAAAGCCAAATGCAACTGAACAAATACTGAAGGGAGAAAATTTCCAAATTTACATATGCAAGGACCTCAACTACATATTTTGAAGAAGGGCTGGAAGGGGTGGGGGGTAGAATTAAAAGCTCTAGGGAATAGAATTTGCTGAATCACATGTGACACCCCTGACTGCTTCTTTTGCCTGATGGGTATGTAGGCTTCACCTGGAGACTGCAAAAGGCAGTGTAGAAAATAGGTCAGGATTCCCTCAAAATCCCTCTCAGTCCTCACAGATGGCACTGCATTCCGAAACCTCTGCTGAAATACCATCTCTGCCACATTCTCCTTTCTCCAAACTCAGGTCTACCCTCACAGCTCAGCTCTCCCTACCTCAGGGATTACCCTCTCTTTGTACTTGGGAACTTCTTTTTTTGCTTTTCCTGCCGGTGCGAGAAAGTTCACAGAGCTAAGATCACCCCTCCAGTGTCCCTTCAGCCCCCTGACCTTTACAACATTTACGGAACAACATAACTACAGGCTCCCAGGGTCCATTAGGCTCTCTCACTCCAGTAGCCAATACAACAGATTCACCGGCCACCTTGAAGGGAAAGAGGGATTGTTAAACGCAAAAATTGACGGAGGCAGAGAAAGATGCACTCGAGGATTCAGCCTTCCGAGGTCTTTTCATGGCACCAAGGACCCATCTTTCCGCCCCCCACAGGGCGCTACGCAACATGAAAGAGCCAATCTGATGCGTCTGAGGCCACCA